GAGCCAATTGTGAGGTGCTTTAGTCCTCAATCCTGGACTTCCCAGCTACTGAACCTGTTTTCCAAACTGTTAGCACTCATGTGTGTCACAAAGGTGAGTGCACAGTCAGAAGATTTTCTTCCGTGAAACTGACAAGCTGATGGCCCAGGGCCTGTAGCGGAGATCGAGGCAATAATGGAGTTCATGGAGTGAAGGAGCAGAACACTTTACTCCACCAGCAGGTGACGATGGTGAGAGGGGAGAGCTGGAGCAGTCGAATGGACAATTGTCGGGGAAGAGTGGGCTGATGGCATGGAGAGGAGACAGCCAAAAGGAATTCCTCAGGCAATGTGACTCACTCAATCATTTCATAGAGATAGTCCTGGATAGTCCTTAAATTCCTTTCCTGTTTGTAATGACTCAATGACAGTGGAGTAAACAAGTCCTGCGTCATAATGTTTGGGATGCCTCGGGTTCAAATTTCATGTTCCCTTGTTAATGCATTATTCAGTTACACTGAGGAGCTCCAGCTATGATCATTGTGAGAGGGTTGTTGCAAGTATCATTTCATGTGGACAGTGCTTTCACTGCTTTGACAGGAGATTTCCAACTTGTTGGAAGGCTTTTCACTTGTCTGGCATTCCAGTAGCCTGCAGTGAAACTTGTCTGCTCTCACCACAGCATGTCAGCACCTTATGTCACTCCACTGAGAGATCTTGTTGAGGATCAGGAATACAACATATACCACGGCCATCTGTTCCAGCAGCAGTAGCGTGAGCTACAGCAGGAACTGCTTCCTTCCTCAGTCGCATGCCCCACCACAGAACAAAGGGGAGATATGTGAAGATCCAGATGAAAAAAATGGGACCTCCCCTAACTGAGAGTCTACACTCACAGCATCATCGCTTTCAACATGTCAGATCACCGGGGTCACGAGCGGCTCAAGCCTTGAACAACAAGCCTTTCTTGACAGCTGCAGTTTCTTGGAACTACAGCACCTTGACCATACTCCGGTGAGCACCCTGCCAATCTCACTGAGATGCCTGTCCATGGAGAGCCAATCCCAGCAACCTCTCAGATCTCTGTCTCTCCCTGAGCTGACACCTTCAGAAAGAGATTTGCGATGGGCAACAATTGCCCACATTCCATAAAAGATTTAATAAAGAAAACTTCTATGTCTTTGAATGCTAGATATTGCTGTTAGGCAATCATGAGAATTAAAATGATAATGCAACCCAGGTCTCTCTTGGAGAATATCCCTCCAAACAGGGCTGGCCTGGTGTTCTGCCAAGTTAGCTGGTTTCAATAGAGTGGCTTCTTGTATCATGGAAATCAGATATGCATTCTGCCAATGTTCTCTGCATGTGAACTTTATTGAAGAGTTTTTTTGTGCAGGTATAAAGTAAGAACAAAATTGGGACTGACAGTAAAACACTGTCACCTCTTATATGTACCCTACCCCGCCAACAAGTTACATAGCTCCATGTGACTTTTTACAGGGCAGGATTAGCGCATCTTCACAGGGTGTCAGAGAAATGGAAGTGCTTCCACAATAACATCATAACTAGGATTGGCATTATACATGTAAGAAATAATGAGATAGGACACAAATCCCCTGTAAGAACAGCAATCTGTGCTGCAAGAGGTCTTGTTGGCACCTGGTCACTGCTTGGCAGAACAGGAATGAGGTGGTTGGGACTTAGAGGGAGATGGGGGTGGGGCTTTGATTTTCATTGTATCTTTCTACATAAAGCAGTGGGTAGATTCAGTAACATGCTGCACCATCACAGCCCTGTTTCTGCTCTGTGATGCTGCATTTGTGCTTTAGATAGTGTTCCTTTCTTTAAGGGAAACAGAATTAAACCATCTGCATTTGAATAGAGAGCACAAGGGAACTGTGACATATTCTGGCCATTGATTTACAGTGTCTGAAATTAACTCCCTAAATCTCCTCAAATCTCTATTTAAGATGATGCATAACACCTGCTCACTTTGACATATATTGAGCTGCTTCTCTGACTCTTCTTCCTTGACTTGGAATAAATTTTTCCTTACATTTGTGTACTTTTGTGCTTTGAAGGTGTCAGGTGAAAGTAAGCTAGTTGTTGTGATAGAGGTGCGCTTTCCCTGAAATATTGACCTGTGTAGTTCCCGATCCCTAAACAGGAGCTCTTTCAAAAGCTTTCTTTACCTTGAGTGACTTCTAAAGCTGCTTCTCTTTCATTATTCTTCCTTATCTCTGCAGCACACAATGCTAGGAAATGTTCAGAGTATGAGATAGCACTTAAAATTTGGAGAGATTAACCTGTCAGCTAAAATCCCCTGTGGAATTACTCTTAATAAAACAAACAGAAGTGCTGATGCTAGCACACTTGCTGAAACATTAGCAAGCTCTCTGCATTTCAAAGCGAGGTTGGGTAATGGACAACTCAATTTCTGGCGCACAGTTGCTCAATCATTTTTTTATGCCAGCGTAGGCGGTATGATGGAGCCAAAACCAATGACAAAGTAATGGGGAGGTGCCACAGTACATTGTCAAGGAGAACTGAATACAGTAACCACGCCCTAAACTGTCTACATGGTGCATTTTGCAACTTTGCTTCTGCCAGCTAGGGTCTGTGGGTGTATGAGTGTGTCAGACAGTGAGAAAGGTTGGAAGAGCGCTGATGCTTTGGGATGGGCAGGAAGTGAGACTGTGGAGTTGTTGGGGATAGACTTATGGAAGGCACAGCTGAAACAGTGGACACCCAACGATCAACTGCCAGACTTTCAACCCCCGAAACAAACATTTGAATAATTTACATTTATCGGTTTGTTTCAACCGCAATGTACACCTGGCTAGATGAATCTTGTGGACAGCCCACGTGGTATTCCTTACACAGTCCTGTTTAAGCTGGAGTCAGGCCCCAACAACATCACCAGGGCCTAATCTGTACTTTTTAAGGAAGATCCAGCTGCCTTTCAGTTCATTGTAAAATGTCATCCTTGGGATGGCAATGAGAAAGAAATTTCTTGGCTTAATTCTCCTCTGCCACAGTTCCTCAAAGACTGACACATTGGCAACTATCTGCAACCAAAAGTGCCACCTGGATGATTGATCGCAAGCTTGTCCTGAGGTCTCCATCAGCAGATGCGTTCTCCTTCAGTCAATTCGGTACAATCCCCCTGGTGTTGGGAAATGGATGAGCACACTGGGTACAGCAAAGATTATGGGTCCCAGTAACATCCACGCAGCAATGTTGAAGATGTGACCTCCAGGACTAGGCGTGCACCAACCAAGCTATCCAGTACAATTACAAAACGCCATCCACCAAATTATGTGGAGAATTTCCCTTCTCTGTCTAGTCCATGGAGGCAAAACCAATCAAATCCAGTCAATTACCACCTCAATGCTCTACCAAAGAGCTGAATCCCAGAGGTAAGGTGAGAATAACTGCCCTCCTCATATCAAGGACCAAATTTCTCACCAAACAGTTCCAGCAAAATTGAAATCTATTATTCTATGGCATCCAATTCTGGTCTCTGTATTGTAAAGAAATATACAGATGCACTGGAGTAGGTATAAAAAAAGAACTCAAGTAAGATTTACCAGAATGGCAATACTACTGATACCATTTAGGAAAGATTGTACAGTTTGGGACTCTTTTTCTACAAAAGCAAAAGATGGGGAGTGGGTGACCTATAGATATCTTGGAGATAATTGAAGTATTTGGTAAGGTAAAAGTAGAGAAATATTTCTATCTGTGAATAAACCAAAAGAAAGATGATCGTTAAAGCATTCAGGATGGAATTTAGGAGAAACATCTTTATCTAGAGAATGGCTAGAGGTGTAACTCACTACCATTAGTTAAGGTGAAGAGCATAAATATATTTGAAATGGAATCCAGACAAATGGGAGTAAAAATAGGATATGATGTGGAGGTGCTGGTGTTGTACAAGGTCAGAAATCACATGACACAAGATAATAGTCCAACAGGTTTATTTGAAAACACAAGCTTTTGGAGCCTCACTGCTTCTTCAGGTTGTGCTGTTAAAACGGAAGCTAGAACACGGACATAAACTCAGTCGGGTGGGGTTTGGAGGGCGGTCATTACCGCTTTCAATGCTGTAATTTTTATGCAAGCCCATAAAAAACGTTTGACACACAGCACTGCACAAATTCTACAATCTTATCAAGATGTGTATCTTCAAGTAAGTAGTAATTGAATCAGAGATAGTAGGAACTGCAGATGCTGGAGAATCCGAGACAACAAGGTGCAGGGCTGGATGAACACAGCAGGCCAAGAAGCATCATAGGAGCAGAGAGGCTGACGTTTCGGGCCTAGACCCTTCATCAGAAATGGGGGAGGGGAAGGGGGTTCTGAAATAAATAGGGAGAGAGTGGGAGGCGGATAGAAGATGGATAGAGGAGAGGATAGGTGGAGAGGAAACAAACAGGTCCGAAGAGATTACGAGAGAGTTGCAGTGGGAGAGAGATCCCCTGAGGTTTGTCCGGAGGGAGGAGGGTAACCAAATAATTGAGGTTGTTTGCAGCAACTTTTAGCACATTAACATCCATTCCTTACAATTAATGGCAGTCAAACATCCATAGTTACAGAAAGATAAGAAAAAAAATCTTCATCAGAGATTCACTGCTACAAATTAACCTGATTGAAGAACAAAAAGTCTTTCAGTCATAGCAAACACAGTATCTAAAGACTGCAGTGATTGAGTGCAGAAGACGCAACAGAATTATTCATGACTTTGCTTGCCTAAGGCATCCAGCTCTAGTAGATGTATGATTGCTGTGTGTTGTGTGTGCAGGAAGAACAGTTAATGGGAATATGAAGTTGTCAATCCTACCATCTCTGGAGAGCTTTATTACAAACTCACCAGGGTAACATGCTTCGGAAGGAGCAATTGGATCCACAACCACACCAACAATTCCACTCCAGGAAGTGCATTATTAAAACAATATTATAGGAGCACAACATTGTGAAATGTAACCTGTACATCGCTGTTAATCTATGGATGGTACTTACAGTGAAAATAAAGCTCCTCATCTCCATCTTGACTGGCCTTGCTGTACCCACAATGCCTGAAAAAGACAGAATGCAAACTTCACTTTGTAAATATTGAATTCAGCAACAACCACCTTAAGGAGCAAATTGAACTGAAAAAAAAATCAATGCTTCTTTGTAGTCTTTCAACATATTTCTTTCAAGGAGCATAGGAGCAGTAACTGGCCATTTTGCCCCTTCAACCAGATCTATCATTCACTTAGATCACAACTGATCTGTATCTAAATCACTCATCTTGATTGCACTATGCTCAAAATATTTGCTGAACAAAAATCTACCTCTCTCAGTATTTACATTTTTAATTCATCTAATCTTAGGAGACAGAGTTCCAGATTGTCAATATCCTTTTTGTGAAGGAATACATTCGGATATCATCCCAGAGCTGCTTCATTCTAATTTTTATTCTTAATTATTCTGGCTTCACCCACTAAAGGAAATACTATCTAACTCATAACCTTATCAAATCCTTTACTTATCTTTAGAAACATCAACAAAATGATCTTTTTATTTTTGAGATATTTTTAATCAATCTATTCAGAGAAGTTCAGGCACACCTCTAGAAGAGACAGGATTCAAGCCCAGGGCCTTCTGGCCCAGAGGTAGGAACACTACCACTGCACCACAACAGCCCTTCTCTTCATCTTCCACATTCAAAGAGATATAAGCTTAATTCGAACAACCTCACCACATAGTTTAACTCTCTGAATAATCAGAATTGGGTACCACACAGGTATTTTTTGTGTATAAATGATTTTTAGTCAACCTGTTCAAACATGTTATAATACACATCCAAAAAAGTGGGGTTTGAATCCAGGTTATCTGGGCCAGTGGCAAAAATATTACTACTGCATCACAAGAGCCAATCATTTTGCATATGCTTGTGTTACACCTTCCTAAACAATATATCTTTCTTTGGATGTCACAGCCAGAACTGAAGAGTGAGCAAAATCAGGACCAGATAGATTTTATACAGTTACTGGGAATGCTCATCACAGAAACAGAGAGTTTAGCCCAAGTGGTCTCAATCAATGTTCATGTTCCACATAAGTCTCTTCCCATTCCTTGTCACATTGTTCTAATGGCACAGCCTTCTCTACCATGTGCTTCTCTAGCTCTCTCAGAAGTGTATCCAAACTATTTACCTAGCAACTCCGTGTGGAGTTTCCCATGCTAAACACTCTGGGTACAGAGGTTTCTCCTGAATCCCTTCTTCGCTTAGTTGATAAATATTTTGTATATAATATTTCAGCTTTCTTTTTTCTTGGGAAATGATTACCAGGCTGTTCATTTTTCCTGTTAGATCTAACTTATTACCATCCTTCCTGCACCTTCCCCAGTGCTTCTGTATCAAATGTATCATATCAAGGCCAGATCTCCAATTGTAGTCCAACCAGTTTTCTATGCCATTTTAAACTAACTTTTGTCTTCCACCTCTGTGTTCTTCTCAAAGTGAAGCCCAGTGTTTTATTAAAAGGAAAATACTACAGCTGCTGAAAATCTGAAACAAACACAGAGAACGCTGGAGAAACTTTACTTATCAGTGTTGCTACTTTTTGTGAGCTATGTCCTTATGTTCCTAGATTTATTTGTTCATTTACTCCATTTAGATTATTTGGCCTCATGCTTCCTGCCAAAATGTAGCACGTATACAGCCTACAGGAGTCCCATTGGTATTTACACACCCATTTTCCATGTAATGATACAAAAATGCATTAAACAAAGTTCCTCATTATGGAACCGATTGGCTGATGTGCACAAATGTTGAAATAATAAATTCTGATTCCTACATCCTGCTGGTGAATAACAATTTGCCAATTTGCTTTTCAGTATTACAATGGCTATTAGAGCTTTCACAGACTTCAGTCATTTTCTGCTATTTACCCGAGTGAATATTCCTGCTGCCTGATCCTATCTAAAAATGATTGGGGATGGATGTGTTTTGCACATATCTGCACATGGTACTTTTCAATTAAGAGCAGGACCTCTAATCAAATCCCACTCCTTCACCCCCAGGCCTTGTTACAGTGAATCTGATCATACAATTCTTATGTGCATCCCATCCATGCTCAGCTTGAAAACAGATTGGACACTGATGGTGTTGGACCCTCCTGGTCCAGTGTTTATGGAAAATATCAATCTTCTGCCAAGAAAAACAGTTTCTTCCTCTTTAGTCTATTCAGACCCCTCATAATTTTGAACACCTCCTTTAAATTTCCTCAAAATCTTCACACCATTTGTCCAATCTATCCACGTAATCAAAATTCTACAATCCTGGAACGATTCTTGTGTATTTTTTTTTCACTATATCTAATGTCTTCATATCCTGATGGATATACACAGACACATTCAAGAATGTTGCCAGGGTTGGAGGGTTTGAGCGTCCTATTTCCATGCTCTACATCTCTATGACTCTATGACATGTTCATTAGTGCCATCCCATCTCCCAAGGGAATAAGAATGATATAAAGGTAGCAGGAGAGAAGGATGTCATTCAGCCCATTGTGGCTATGCCATCTCTTCAAAGTGCCTATTCTTGGAAGAGCCAATGCTGAATTCTGTGCAGAGAAAGATCCAACATTGCTTTCATGAGTTGAGACACAACTTGCTCTGTTACTGAACAGGCTTAACATTGCTTGTAATACACTCATTTAGATTCTCAGAGGACCAAAATCGCAATTCATTAAGTTATAGCCTCAGACAAATGAGTGAAAAACTTTAGTATTAAACTTCCTTATTTATAACAGGAAGAAATTATCAAATATTTATAAAACAACACACTGAACGATAGCACCATGATATGCTTCAAATATTTCACTGCAGGGTATATGACTGTCAGCCAAGTATGGTGCTTCAATCTGGTGAATTGCCTCAAACATTGCAAAATAAGCTTATATTGATATTTCCTCAGAGCTGCATGCCTAGGACACAATGACTCCGGCAACTTCTAACAGCTACACTATCAGAAGCAGCCGTGCTCCCTATGTGAAGACATGAGGCTGAGCAGCAGTAAGGAGACAGAAATCACTTATCACTTCAGGTGGGAGCTCAGAGAAAATGCTGTGCGCTTCTAGCATTTTCCACAGCATTTTTGTTTTCCTCGGAGGAGGTAAGAAACTGAAAGAGGAGTTTGCACCTCTTCCAAGATCAGACCTTCCTAATGCCCAGCACAGAAATGGGTTTTGAGGGGATTGGGGGTGGGGGAGGTGGGGGAGGCGGGTGTTACCTTCTCCAGATGATAAATCCGAAGACCATGGAGACCAGAACAATCAGGCCGGCCACTGAAACCACAGCGATCACTATCACAGGATTTTGCTCACTGGTTGCCATGGCAACTAGGAAGAGAAAACAGAAGGCATAGAATGGCATGTTAGAATTGCAGTGACATTGTTATGGAAAACAAAATGGTGGACTAGGTCAGGAAGTACATTCGTCTTAATTTCATCGCTGGCAGGTTTTTTAAAAAATGGCCAAATTTATAATAACATTCTATCCACACCATCTCTTGTTATTCTCTTTATACAAATATAATGCATTGCCATCTCTTCACCCCCTGCTGGAGGTGCAGTGCAATAAAGTATGAAGCACAGAAAAAGTATGACCACTCATTGTGATTCCAAAGATGTAAAAAGTGACTTTATGAAACAAAGGACTACATTTTAACCCTGGAGGAATCTGATTCGTTTTTGGGTCAGAGAACAATCTTTTGTGGGGGTGGGGGGGAACATGATTGAAGATTTTCACATGGGTGAGCCTTTCATTAGCATGGAGACATACTTCCTGTCCAATTAGGTGTGGTGGGAGGTCTCTCAAAGCCATGGAGCCAATTAAGGCCTTCCAGCCTCAAAGGGGCACTTGTTTACAGTCTAAGGCAAATAAAAGGCAATGCAGTTGAAGGAAGTTCTGAGGAAGGGTCACTGGACCCAAAATGTTAACTCTGATTTTTGTTCCTCACAGATGTTACCAGACCTGCTGAGCTTTTCCAGCAATTTCTGTTCTTGAACAAAGAAGGAGCCCTGTTAGAGTTCCTGACTGCCTGGCCCTTTTCCACGGTCGCATTCATGCCTGAGGGTTCTTAGTGAGGGAGTGCGCACTGTCCACCAATGCCCTCAAACCCTTTAGGGAGAGATGGGCACTGTGGGGGTTTGAGTGCATCATTTCCATATCCATCTAGGGGTGGCGTGGTGGGTCAGTGGTTAATGCTACTGCCTCGCACCTCCATGGACCCTAGGTTCAATTCCACCCTTAGGTGGCTGTCTGTGTGGAGTTTGCACATTCTCCCTATGTCTGCGTGGGTTTCCTCTGGGTGCTCCAGTTTCCTTCCACAGTCCAAAGATGTGCAGGTTAGGTGGACTGGCCATGTCAAATTGCTCACTGTTGTCCAGGGATGTACTGGCTAAGGGGGCTAGCCATGGGAAATGCAGGGTTACAGAGATTGGTTCTGGATAGGAGGATTAGTGTTAACTTGATGGGCTGAATGGCCTACTTCCATATTCTATGATCTCCATTTTAATTAAGCCCCTCCCTCTTTCCCTCCCCTTCCCTTTAGTTATTGTTGCTTTGCCCCCTAGTGGGCAGTGCTTGAATTTTTTTAAATTGATTTAGTGAGATGGGTGGTTTGCTGGAGGTTTATTAAAACAAAAGGGCTGTTTTTTTTCTCTCTAAATGGTTCAGGCAGTGGGCTGTGCAGAAGGTCATAGTTGCCAACTACCTGCCCCTCTACCACATCCATGTTAGTGCCAGGTTCAGTACGCAGTGTCCACCAACAACCCTCAGGGCATTGGCAGAGAGGTGGGCACCGCAAGGGTTGGAGTGTATTATCGCCCCACCAATTCTGCTTTGGTTTAGTCCCCTCCCTCATTTCCAATGCTTCCTGTTTTTGTGTCATGCTTGTAATGTGTTTAATTTAGTGTTGGCCCTTTCCTTTCCTTCCCAGCCAAATGAGTTAGTTAGGAAGGGGAGAGAGCAGACCAGAGTTTGTCCTCAGCTACAAGAATCAAATGAACAGTTGTGGAACACTGACCGACTCCAGTTTCCTGTTTCAGTGAACTGACGATTCACCATTTGACACTCACTTCCCACATTCTTAGGCACCAAAACTTCAGCCCATTGAGAAACATAGAACGTTGACAATAATTATTTCTTGGAACGACAAGTTATCACGAGAGATACCAGAACCGTAAAATGCATGGGGATTCAAAGTCAGAGGTCATTCTGTAAAACAGGGGAGAATCTGAGTAATAAGTTCTTAAACCTGAAAATGTGACGTCAGCGGACTTGTAATTTAGTGATCACTTTATAACTACGCCAAGTGTAAAATTTATAACATAATTGAATTCAGTGTTTAACTGATAAACTCTGGGAACTTAAAACTAAGATTAATTAGTAGAGCAGACTAACATTGAAAAATGTCTACTAAATTAAAATCTGACTTTTACAAATAGTAGTCCAGATGTTTCAGTCCCAACAGCGAAGAGAGGTGGAAGCAGTCATACAAACAAGGAAATAGACCCTTTGGTCCAACTCATTCACACCGACCAGACATCCCAATCTGACCTAGTCCCTGTAAACCCTTCCTATTCCTATACCCATCCAGATGCCTTTTAAGTGTTGTAATTGTACCACTACCTCTGGCAGCTCATTCCATACATGCACCACCCTCTGTGTGAAAAAGTTGCCTCTTAAATCTTTCCCCTCTCACCTTAAACCTATGCCCTCCAGTTTTGGACACCCCTATCCTGGGGCAAAGACCTTGGCTTTTTTTTAAAATTCACTCACGGGATGAGGGCGTTGCTGGCTAGGCAGCATTTATTGCCCATCCCTAATTGCTCAGAGGGAAGTTCAGAATCAACCACATTGCTGTGGGTCTGGAGTCACATGTAGGTCAGACCAGGTAGGAATGGCAGCTCCCTACCCTAAAGGACATTAGTGAACCCCCAGATGGGGTTTTCCAACAATCGACAATGGGTTCATGGTCATCATTAGATTCTTAATTGCAGATTTTTTAAAAATTCAATTTGCACCATCTGCTGTGGCTGGATTTGAACCCAGGCCCCAGAATTTTAGCTGGGTCTCTGGATTAACAGTCCAGTGATAATACCACTGGGCCATTGCATCCGCATTATTCACCCTATCCATGCCCCTCTGATTTTATAAACTTCTACAAGGTCACCCCTCACCGTCTGACACTCCAGGGAAAATAGCCCCAGCCTATTCAGCCTCTCCTTACAGCTCAAGCCCTCCAACCCTGGCAATGCCCTTGTAAATCTTTCCTCACCCTTTCATAGAATCCATACAGTGTGGAAACAGGCCATTTAGCCCCATATGCCACACCAACCCTCCAAACAGCACCCCACCCAGATCATCCCCCTACCCTATCCCTATAACCTTGCATTTCCCATCATTAATGCACCTAAACTACACATTCCTGGACACCATGGGTAAATTAGCATGGCCAATCCACCTAACCTGCATATCCTTGGATGATAGGAGGAAACTGCAGCACTCAGCAGAAACCCATGCAGACACATGGAGAATGTGCAAGCTCCACACAGATGGTCACCCGAGGCTGGAATCGAACCTGGCGCCCTAGCGCTGTGAGGTAGCAGTGCTAACCACTGAGCCGTACCACTCTACAAGGTTTCACGTTTCACACCATCTTTGCAATAGCAGAGAACTGAATGCAATATTCTAAACATGGCCTAACCAACTCTCTTCCAAAACATGGCCAGTCTCGTCCACCCCCAGTCACCACAACTCAATCCCACACATGGGGCCCTGTCTTTCCCCCAACAACTCGTGCTACCTGCGACACAAACCTAGCTCCTTAATTCTGCTTTATAAAAGCCAAGACCTCAGATGTCAAAGTAGTTCAGGGTGCGAAAAATGTTTCAAGATTTCTTTGAAGTCATTTTTTTTTATTCAAAGAGAAAAAGGTATGCATTTATACAATAATGTATTTTGAAACACAAGCTCTTTTTCTCATGTATTTTCATATCAGTTGTACCACAAACTCAAGAGAAAAGCAATTCACCAAACTTCATTTGGTGTTGAAGAAAACCACATAACATTTCGCTGCCTGCTTTTATTTTTAAGATGAAAAGTTAACAAGGCTTCAAATTGTCTTGATTTGCTACAGAAAATCTATTTGCAGATGTAACTGACTCAAAAGAAAATAGCCTTACACTGCAAACTGATGTATCTTTATACTTTTTACAGGCATATATACAATACACATCATTAATGATTCAATTTGATGCTTATTACAGCTTCTGGTAATGAGTTAGGCAATGGGGTAAAAAAAATCTATTTTAATTCTGCGTGCTCATTTCTGTGCAGCTTATGTCTATAATTCAGAAAGATAATGCAGACCATAATTTATTAGTCACAGATCAGTGTGAAGCCAAGACAGATTGTCATGGACTTTCTCAATGGTTCCTAATGGGTATCAAGCAAAATAACTGTACATTGACTTCTGCTACCTTGTTTGTGCTTCCAAACTGTCAGTTACAACAGAGCTAATGGAGGAAGAGACAGTAAGATGACAGACAGGAACCAAAGGACAAAGGAAAAATGCATTAAAAAAATCATGCCCAATTTTAGCCCTATTCCCCCAACAGGGCTTTTGGGGGAGTGCACAACAGCCTTTTGAAGATGGTTTGGGTGTGGGGCCTTTCGTTTGATATCTGGTGAGTGGTAAGTTGTTCCATGAACCGCGCGAGGTAAAATGGAAACACAATGAGATGAGAGGGTTCCATAGGGTGTGGTAGTTAGTGTGTGTTGGGTAAGATACAGCATTCATGAAACACAACCAGCAAGAAATTTCACTGGGGCCTCAAAGGTGAAAATCTCTCTAAAAAACTCGCCACAACTTTCGCTTTGCCAAAAAGTGAATGAAACAGTCCCTGTTATTTATTGCATTGTGCTTGGAGAATTTTGGCTGCTACATTTCCACAAAAAAAAACCACTGACTGGACTTTAAAAAAGAACATCACCGGCTACAAAGCACTGAGGCAGACTGAGGTTGTCTCAAATTCTATGTAAACAGAATTTTGTCCTTTCATCGACCAAACTTACTCTTTCTGAAAATGCACCCCCTGCCTCAGTGATCCATTAGAAGTTGGGTGGGTGGGGCTGGTAAATCAATTTAAGAGGCCTTGCTTGACCTGTCTTCTGTATTATGTTGGCCCATTGCCCACGGTCTATTAAGACACCCAGACCAAAATGTTGATATATCCTTTGACTTATGACAAAGGTCAGACAATCTCGATTTAGTGCTTAATCCTTGTTATAAGGAATTTCCAAGACAACAAATTTGTCTGCTTGGAGGATAATGCATGGCTGCTTGACATTAATATTACAAGTCTCTTCGTACTTCCAATAACCTTCATTAAAATGGGAAACAGAAGATTTATTTTCAAAACGATGCTGTTCTTGAAGAGCTACGAACCAAATATACATTTGGTGCACAATATTTACTGTTGCATTTCAGTCACTTGTCTAGTAACATCAGTCCACTAGGCACAGACAGTGCTAAAAGAAATACACTTGATGAAGCTCCAGCATTTTGAGTTTTCAGCAGTGATTACTATAAGTTTCTGGACAAGAAGAGCTAAGAGCAAACAGTGATTTTAACCTGCATTGCCGCACAGTTCCACCACTCCTAAAATGGATGGCTTGTACCCAAATGTGGTATCACTTACAACAATGCAAACATTCATTCCTTGTGATACTTTAGCAGGCACTCTTTGACCAGTGCCACAGGAAAGTTCAGGGTCGTGAATTTTCCGTTCCGCAACACTGATGGTGTAACCTCCACCCAGCATTTACTTGTGGCTCTCCATGGTCACAAACATAAATCATCCAGTGACCTAAGATCACTGAAATCGAGCTTGGACAAGGGTCTGTATAACTTAAATAATGCCAGTGAGTTAAAATGGCTCAGGCCATAAATTAACAAACCAGCTGGGGTCCCACAAGTCTCATACTAAACCCTGGAGGATAGGAGAGACAGCTAAGTGGGGCACAATAGATGCATAGATCTATCCTAGGATTGTGCTCACTGTAACAAGTTGTCACCTCTCTGTGTATGGTGGGACAACACGAAGAGGCGAGGGAAGCTGTGAGTGTGGTCTGTCACCTGAAACATGAAGACGGTTCAGGCTGTACAAAGGACCTCTGAAAAATTGTTGTGACCCCACATGCTAATGGAACATTACAGGAAATTCGACACTTTATTGTCTGCACAAAGGAGAAAATAAAATTGCGACTGATTTAAAAATGTTAATTAATTTGATTAGAGTTTTCATGTTTAGAGTCTAGGACCAGAGGGCACAATCTCAGAAAAAGGTGTCACCCATTTAAGGCAGAGATGAGAAGGAATGTCTTCTTTAAAAGGTAATGAATCTGCAGGATAACAGCAGGCTGTTGAGGTGGGCAGTTAAGTATATTCAAGGCTGAGATAGAGAGATTTGTAATCAGCAAGAGAATCAAGAATTATAGGAAAGAAAGCAGGAAAGTAAAGTTGAGGATTATCAGATCAGCCATGATGTTGTTGAAGGGCAGGGGAGACATGATGGGCCTAATGGCCTACTTCTGCTCCTATGGTCTTACATTGTTAAATGTGGATGCTGCTTGCTATTATGCTCATATCCACTATGGCACTTACAGCTCTGTCCAATATGGTTAAATGCTCCCTCGATGACGGACAAGCATTGATGGTAGATAACTTGCTGTTGTGGAGAGAACTGAAAAGTTCATAACCTGTTGCAGAGTCTCCCTGGCTGGGCCCAATGCTGGGGAATCTCTTGAGACACTGAATTTTGATTTATTATTTTCGGAGAAGCATCTGCTTTACCCAAAGTGGGCAAATACAATTGTGATTCAGAAAAGCTGGAATAATTGAGGGATTCAATCTCATACTCGTCTTCCTATAGAGGCTTTGTGTGGGGTTTTTGCCCTGCTCCAAACTTTACTCAGCTTCTCACAAACTCCACTGGTTTACCTGCATAGAGATATCGCTGAGGCCTCCACTTATGCCAGGACAAACCATCCTTGGTGCCCTTGCCCTTTCTGCTCAGGGCCACTCTCAATGGATGCACTATGAAGGTTATCAGTCTCCCTGGCAATCTAGCATCCACTCACCTAATCACCATCCTTAATGGGATGGCACTCCCAGAGGAGGATTCTTATTGGGAATAAGATCACACCTTCTGACCTGAACGGAAGGAGACCTAACAATGGACTGGACGGCCAAAACTTTGTGTTTTGGAAGGTTCAGTGCTAACACTTCACAAACAAACAGTTCAGCTTAGATCAATACAAAGCAGTTGCTTGAGAAACATTAAAGGATCATTAATGCAGGTGAGACTGGCTTAGAACAAAATGGCATTATCACATTTAACACATTTCAAAACAATGTGATAAACAGCTATAATTTAATGAGCCTCTATGACTCTACGACACATGATATTGGCTACATCAAATGAAAAATCAAGAATTATACTCTTCAAACAGACACAAACATCAAGTCAGTGGACAAGCAGTAGAGTAGATAGTTAGCTGGCTTCAAGGCAGGAAACAGTGTAGGAGTAAAGTGTAGTTATTCTGAGTGGCAGGACAATGGTGTTCTGGAAGAATCAGTGATGTTCGTGATTTACATGAGCAATTTGGACTACTAATCTAAAGCAGAACTTTTAAATTTGTGGATATTGCCAAATTGAGGGGGATATAGTCAATGCAAAGGAGGACGGCAACAAATTACAGTAGGATGTTACTGAGCTTACAGAACAAGCTAATAATTGGTAAATGAAGTTCAGCACCAGTAAATACAGGGTGACATATTTTGGTAGGAAGAAGAAGGAAATCACCTGTTATTTGGAATTAATGAATCCCTGTAGAGTGCAAGCAGGCCATTCAGCCCATCGATTTCACACCAACCCTCCGAACAGCATCCCTCCCAGACCCACCCCATTTCTGTAACCCATGGCCAATCCACCTAACCTGCACATCTTTGTACTGCGAGAGGAAACCCAGGCAGACATGGGGAAAATGTGCACACTCCACACAGGCAGTCACCTGAGGTTGGAATCAAATCCAAGTCCCTCATCTTTATCCATATGGATAAGGAGAACCACCAATTCGATTGAAACAACACCAAGATCCTGGGACAAGCTAAGCAGAGACAGGCACGGGAATTCCTAGAAGCCTGGTGCTCCAGGAAGAAAGCCATCAACAAACACGTAGAGCTAGACTCCATATACGCTCCATTGCGAAGGGAAACCGGAAGTGAGGTAATCCAGCTCAACGGACTCCAGATTTTAAAAACCAGGCGGGAAAACACAACGGCGCTTCATCGGAGGCTGCACTGATGATGTTACCCAGCAGGGTAATGAAATGTCTGCGGAAAAACAACGAACTAATTCGGCGAGCCAATCAACCTCAACAACCAAGTCCCTGGTGCTGTTAGGCAGCAGTGCTAACCACTGAGCCACTGTGCCACCCCATTACTTGGAACATGGAAGCGCAGGTGGGGTAGGGGAACAAAGGGGTATCAAATACTAATACATCCAAGGTCTAAAAGTGCCCCACAAGTTCATAAAAGAGTGTAGCAAGTGTCAGGTTTTATTTCAAGAAGGACAAAACTGAACAGTAGGGAAGTTGTGTGATGATCTTAAAGAACCTTGGTATATCACAGTACTAGCTATGGTCCTGTTCTTCATATTCTGAAGAAGGATATAGAGGCACTGGAAAGTTGCAAAGAAGATGTACAGAGATGATACCAGAAATGCAGGATTTCTTTATGTGAGAGTAGGATTGACAGGTCACGTCCCAAGTCTCTTGAGAAAAGCTCAGCAAACTAATGGACGAAATTAAAATGATAAAGGGTTTTGACAGAATGGATACAGAAATAATGTTTCCTTTTTTTTAGGGGAGTGGAATAACATGAGGCTATTAATATCGAATAATTACCAAGAAACTCAACAGGGAACTCAAAAGATACTGTTTCATGCAAAATGTGATAAGAATGTGGAACTCGTTACCACAGGACATAACTGAAGTAAATTGTACAGATGCATTTAAGGGGAAACCAGAGAAGCAGATGTCAGGGAAGGGAATAAATGGATTCTCTGGTTGATTTAGATGAGAAAAGATGGAATTAAGCTCCAGAGGAGTCTAAACATTAGCATGGACTGGTTGGCAGAATAGCCTGTTTCTGTGCCATAAATCCTATTTAATCCTCATAATCCTCTCTCGGATATACAGGATCTGACACCTAATGTTGTGGCTCTATTTTTCAGATCAAGTACTAGTGCCAAAGTTTTCAATGAACACATTATTTGAGTGTGATGGATGTCTCATTTTACTATTTAAAGTGTGACAGCCATGAACATCTCATTGCCTACTTAGGGCTAAGGGCTAAAGTCACTCATTTTTAAAAGGCCAAAACTGAAGTAGATGAAATAGAGATCTGTCCTTTGAAGTTCTTACTAAACTTTCTAATTATTGCACAACAATACAACCTAAATTTTTTATACAGATCTGGAGCAGAAATGTGGTAATACACCATTATTTTAGTTTTGCTAAATTAACAAGATGCCCAATTTGGATAATTGACCATTTTTATTGCGCATCATTAAAAGATTGACTAACCACCAGATATCTGGCAGCATCCAATAACAGTCATAACTCATGTTAATCAGTGTAAGAGCCAGCCCTCTAACACGTGAACACAGGCACATACAAAATGGGAACGGGAAATGCCCACTATTTTTCACTTTCAGTGTTACTTACGCTCCCCTAATGTCTGCACCTCAATGCTTGGGCTGTAGTTCCCATAGTTAGTGGACGAGAAAGCTCGGACTTGGAACACGTAGAGGGTCCCGGGCTTCAGGTTATTAATGGTCACGGTCGTTGACGCAGTTTTTACTGTTGAGTAACTTTGGTCGTTCTGTTCCTGCCAGAAAAATATACAGGGTTCAATGGCAGATCCAAACTTACTGACACATTCCCACTCTAACGGATGGGCAGATCAATAACAGTAATGATAAATAATGGCAGATCAATAATGCTGGTTAATGCTGATCTACAAAAGACACTCACACATGTATACATCGGAATGTAGTACCACAGCAACATAACAGGAGTAGACTCTTCAATTAGATTATGGATGATCTACCTCTTATTCCATCTACTTGCCTTGGTTCTTAATACCCTTTCCTATCAAAAGACAAATTAACAATTTCAGTTTTGAAATCTCCAATTGATGTAGCTTTTTGGAGGAGGGAATTCCCAGATTTCCACCAGCCTCTGTGTGAAGTGCTTCCTCTATATGGTTTAGTTTGAATATTTGCATGTATGTAAGCACACAGATGGTGATCCTCTGCATGTTGCCAACATTCAGCTTTGGAGAAGCATTTGCTGTAACTATTTATTTTATGTGAATATTCAAAAGGTAGCTTGCCTTGTTAACTGATGAGAATATCTCAGGAATTCTGTTGGCTGCTTGATATCACTACAGATCCAAAGAAGATGCTGCAATGGAGTCAGAAGAATAAAGAGATTTTAAAATGCATTTCCAAAGCCTTAACACATAGGCAAGGAAATGTCATTGAAGCATCACAGAAGTTTAATAAGAAATAGTGTGGTGGTGGTAATGCCACTGGACTTGTAATCCTGATAGGCTAGGTCTTTGGGGAGCGAGGTTCAAATCTCACCCAGACAACTGGTGGAATTTAAATTCAATTAATAAAACCTGGAAGGTAAAGCTAGTCTTAGGTGACCATGACAATTTGTACTGATTGTTGTAAAATTCCATCTGGTTCAGAAGGAAATCTGTCACAAACACGGACAATGCTGGAGAAACTCTGCAGGTCTGGAGAGAGAAACAGAGTTAACATATTGAGTCCAGATGACTCTACTTCAGAACTGAAGAGGATTGGCGAATGTTCCTTCGTTCAGACCAGATGGATACATGATAGGAAATCTTCCAACCAGTCTGCCTACATGAGATTCCAAACCTCCAGCAACGGGGTTGACTATTGCTCTGTAAAATGGCAAGTGACACAGTTCATGTACAATTAGGGATGGACAGAAAGTGCTGGCCTTTCTAGAGATACCCGCATCCCATGTGAATGATAATAAACAAAACCTGTTGCAAAGTATTAATCTACGATATCATCCCAAATCTTGATTGCATTGTTTCATATCATTAATACTTAAAATGAATACTTAAGTTAATACTTAAAAGTTTTAAGTTAGCCCAAACAAGTTTACGGACAACTTTGCAGTAAAAATATGTACAACCAAACTATTAACAACTGGGTTTCCTTTTTATCCTCTACAGGCTCACAACAGATGCAAAGATAATTCCTGGGGGTAGATGACAGAGGGATGGAGGAAAATGCTAAAAATCCAGATTACTATAAATGGAAAAATGAAAGTCAGGCAGACTTGACCCAAGTTGGTTATCACTGGGGTAGACAGAAAATGCAGATACAGAAACCTTTGTGCAATTGTGGATGTAATCAGCTCAGCGGGGACAGATCTTAGAGTGGGAGTTCATGGTGGGAGAGCTCGATGGGAGAGACAGGTGGACAGCAATGGTAGGGAAGAGAAAGGGTGGTAGATGGAGAGAGAAGGGATGAGAAAAGTTGTGGAGTAAGAGAGAAGAGGTAAGGCAGGGGAGGGGTGGGGTAGACAGGTGGTACGAGGCAGGGAGAGAGGTCAGATGTGGGAGGAAGAGGAATAGAAGGAGGTAGCTATGGGTATAGGGGAGGGAAAAGAAAGGGTGGGAGGGATGAGGAATGTCCAGGGAGAGGGTTGGGGAGAGAAGGACAGAGACAGGAAGAGGGGAAACCACACAGGACATTGGTGGGGGGGGGGGGAGAGAGACAGAGAGAGAAAGTGGAGGGACAATTAATTTAAGAGGAGAGGAAGGGAGGAGAGTTGGAAGAGGAGGAGGTGAGAGAGTGTGAGAGTCCCGAGCTAGAAGCAATCAGTCCTTCAAATTAAAGACTCAAACAAGGCCTTGGAGATGAAATCTGAAGTTAAAGGAATTAAACCTAATTCTCATGTTGTCATTGTGTGCCTCTGGGCTGAAATGGCAAAGTAAGTATATCGGGTAAAAGGAACAGAAGAATTTGCTGATTGTGTGTTAAACTAAATAAAGTGAGATGAACATTGCTGAGTATAAATACTTGATTTGAATTGCCAGTATCAATGCTGTAAATTCTATGAAATGAAACTACTGAAAATTGCATCTGTAATTGTTTAAAAAAAAAGGACTTCATATTTCATTACTTAATTTAACAACTTCCAAAATAAGCCTGCAAGGGACATAGGCTGGAGCAAATCTTTTATATCTCTGACAATTAGTTTAAGTCTAGTCCAAATTAATAGGATTTAAGTTCTGGCCAGCATTGATCCAGAAATTAGCTGATTGAGTAAATTTTGTACATTCTATGGTTCTAGCCTCTTCTGCACCCAGCCAATTGCCTCCTATAATTGAGGCCCTAAACTTCAACCCCTTTTCCTAAGTTCCACTGTCCCTGTCACCTTTAGGTTTTAAAAAAAAACACTTTCTCAAAATCAATTGCTAAGACCAAGCTCTGAATGGTTCCTCTCTATAGTTCCTACTTTGGCTCAGTCCCAGTCTTTGTGTCTGATTTCAGTTCTGCAATCTGCCTAGGGATGTTTCCTTACAGTAAAATCACTATATGAATGCAGTATGTTGTTGTTGCAGAGCAATTAGATCTAATTGAGGAGTTAGAATGAGCTCAGGCACGTTAAGCAGAAGGGGCACCATCTGTGCTTTAAATTCAATGAAGGAATTCAACATTAATCAACAGTACTTCAGCAATCATGGCATTTGTAGTCCATGGCATTAATTGAACTCCTTTCCAGTCCTGAAGTCAGTACCATGTGAGTGTTCACTTAAGTGTGCACTTAAGAAGAAAGAATGAAAAAAAATGAAACCAAACAAGTAGATGTGAAAAATATACAAAAGCCACACAATTATCACTTGATGATAAATACATTCCTTCTGAAAAAGATCACATAAGTCATGAAGTGAGAAACATCTTCAATCTGGCACTTCCTGACCAGTCATTCTTAATTGAAGAGATACCACAGTGTGGAGCTGGAGGAGTACAGCAGGCCAGGCAGCATCAGGAAAGCAGGAAAGGGTCAGGACCCTTCTTCAGAAATGGGGAGGAGGAAGGGAGCTCAGAAATAAATAGAGGGAGGAGGGGTGGGGCTGGGGAAGGTAGGTGGGTTGGTGATAGCTGAGTGCAGGTAGGCAGTGGTGAGGATTGGTCAGTGAGATGGATAGGGCGGATAGGTGGGAAAGAAGATGGACAGGTTGTGTCAGGTCAAGGAGGCGTGGATGAGAGGGAGGATTGGTCATGGGATGAGGCTGGGGGTGGGGAGTGCTTCACACTGTGTTGTCTCTGACTCCAGTATCTCCGGTTCTTACTATCTCTTGAGTAATTCTTAATTTAAGTTATCTGCGATCACTGGAATTTCAATTGTCATCTTGCTTCATAAATTATGTACATATAGATAATTTTTTACAGAAATATTGAGCATATACAGACAGTTTATAACATTAGAATTTATTTTGATGCATTTCAAATGGAACTGATGTCTAACAATGATAATAAATTTGTTTCCATCTACTCATCTTTATTTATTTAGATTCTCATAATTCCAAAGTTTACAACTTCCCTCCCTTCCCCTATACCACTGGACTAAATTTCCTTCAAAGATTTTCCTTGTACTAAAACTGAAATCATACCTTTTTCTACTTCCATCTGAGCTGCTCTCAAACCTGCTGAACACATTTTGCCTGTGAGCGAGTTATTATATAACTGATCACATAACCCTGATATCAATGGGAGAGAATGCACCAGTTTTGGAGTTGATTTGTAGATCGGGTTGTGGGTGTTGAGGTTGGTTGGCTCGCCGAGCTGGTTCGTTGTTGTTCCGCAGGCGTTTCATTACCGTGCTTGGTAACATCATCAGTGCAGCCTCCGATGAAGCGTCGGTGTGTTTTCCCGCCTGGTTTTTAAACTCTGGAGTCCGTTTAGCTGGATTGCCTCACTTCCGACTTTTCTTCGTAGTGGAATGTATATGGGGTCGAGTTCTATGTATTTATTGATGGCTTTCTTCATGGAGTTCCAGGCTTCTAGGAATTCCCGTGACTGTCTCTGCTTAGCTTGTCCCAGGATCCTGATGTTGTCCCAGTCGAATTGGTGGTTCTCCTTATCCATGTGGATTGAGATGAGTGAGTATTGGTCATGTCTTCAGGAACACATCGGAACTAACCACAAGACTCCTATGACCGCTGGGCATCAGAGTGGCACACAAGCCCACATCAACCCTACGACAACTACTCACCCAAACTAAAGACCCACTCCCCGCCATGGACAGGACCAATGTCATCTATAAGATCCCCTGCAGAGACTATGAGAAACACTACATCGGACAAACAGGAAGGAAACTAACAACAAGGGTACATGAACACCAACTGGCTACAAAAAGACACGACCAATACTCACTCATCTTAATCCACATGGATAAGGAGAACCACCAATTCGACTGGGACAATACCAAGATCCTGGGACAAGCTAGGCAGAGACAGGCACGGGAATTTCTAGAAACCTGGCACTCCACGAAGAAAGGCATCAATAAACGCACAGAATTCGACCCCATATACACTCCACTACAAAGGAAACCCGGAAGTGAGGTAATCCAGCTAAACGGACTCCAGAGTTTAAAAACCAGGCGGGAAAACACACCGACGCTTCATCGGAGGCTGCACTGATGATGCTACCCAGCACGGTAATGGAACGCCTGCGGAACAACAAACCAGCTCAGCGAGCCAACCAACCTCAACAATGCACCAGTCTAGAATGAGCATAGGAAGAAAGTGATCTTGGATGCTACACTAGAGAA